TACATATAGATATATGTAATTATATATATATATATATACATCTAATAAATATATATATATATATTGAGATACATATACATATACGTATGGCGACACACACACACACATATATATATATATTCTGTATATATACTTATATATATTTGTCCATACGTATACGTATATACATATATATATATAAATTTATATTGTATGTATATATCGAATATATACATATGTATATGTATATATATATATATATGTATATATATATGCATATGTATCTATTTAATTATGTATATATATATATATATATATATATATATATTATTGTTCGTACAAACACACATATATATATATATAAAATATACGTACATCCGAATGTATAATATATATATATATATATATATATATATTTTATACATACAAATATATATATGTATTCCTTATATGAATAAATATATATCTACATATATAGATATTTACATATATGTAAACCATATATATATATATTTATTTACAACTATACACATATGCATACACAGATATTGACATACATTTGTATTATATATACATATATATATACATATATTTATACACACATGTTGACCAATGAATTTACAGATATAATTATGCCTACATGACACATTGTTGTTTGCAAATCATATGTTACTAAAGCTGAGTTAGTCGATTTTATTGTTAGCAGCTATTCTTCAATAAATAAATTTGTGAGCAAAACGGTTGAAGAACAAAACGGCCTACCATACGCTAGGGATGTCAGCCCTGTTGAACGTAGCGAACTAAATTGCCTCTTCGCTATCCATTGTGAACTGCTCACTAACCTCAGTGAAGTGATGAATACTCTTCCTAAGTTCTTCTTCATCGACGTTGACATGTTGCAAAAATTGTTTAGAGAGATCCGAAAGTTCCGCATGCTCTCTGTAAAATTCACCAACAGGCTGCAGGCGAATCCGGAACGATTCCTTCACATCGTTGTCAAACACGCGCTGAGACATATCATCTACAGCACCCATACGTTGTAATACTTTATGATAGTAATTGATGGTTCGATTGAACACTTCGCCCTCGGGTACCCGCTTTTCTGATATCTCCTTCATTGTATACAGGCCATCGCATATAGCGTCGATTGTGTGCTCTTCGAATAGCATGACAGCCCTGGCCACACACCAATGGTCGATGACCTTCCGCTGTTGCGCAGTTGATTTTTCATATGTTATAAGCGGATGGTCGCCATCAGGCAGACCCTTGTGGTCATCGCCCTCTTTGTTGCGCACTGTAAGGAACGCTAGCGTAGTGTGTGTGCCATTGACAAGATACCATTTGCGTTTAAATAAGTACTCCTCTGTAGCTGCGTTGTTTGCAAACACAGTGACCGAGTTGGTGGGCCATGGGTTGGTCTCCTCATTCTCAACTGTAGGATTTTCTGAGGCCGCATCCATTGGTAAGATATAGCCCTCCCAAGATTCGGTGGTACACTTGATTCCATCCTCGACGCCAATGATACGATCGATGCAAATCTTATCTACAAGCATAGGGACGACTTCAATATACTTATCCAGGTCCTTTCCTAGTTTTTCCACAGCCTCATGATCGTTTTCACAAGCATATAACTTCTTCCTCTGATTCTTAGAGACCTCTGTATCTAATAGCGCACCCGCATCTAAAGTACTCTTTGTGACTTTGTCTAACCCAGGACCTAAGCTGGTACTGAACGACGTACCAAGCTTCGCTGCTGCCCCAACAACTGAGTCATCTTCTGACAGCAGAAGAATCATTCGAGCTCCATTGCTGTCTGAATCGTCCACTGATTCTTTGGCCTCGAGTGCAGAGTGTAGTTGCGGCACTGACGAAACCACAGCGAAGTTGCAGATCTTCGCATCGTTGACACGGAATGGTACTGTGATAGGCGCTCTTGAAGCTAGCTCCTTGAACTGTTTAGATGCACGTTGCACCGTGATGACTGCCTGATCGGACTTTCTAGCAAGCTCAGGTAAGGCCAAACCAAGACCGAGCTTTCCAGCCGCCAGATGGATGTGAATTCTCTTACATAAATTTGTCATATTAGGGTGTCCTTCGTAGTCTTAATATCAGATTTTTTTGTATTGTGTAATTATGATGGAAGGACAACCAAAGTAGCTAGCTTTATAGTGGTGGCTGTTGTCTAAAAGTTGCGGATGCGTGCATCAACTTGTTATTTGAGTGTTGACTGTTACATGATCAATGATTTTGTAGTCGTTTATCTTGAACTTTTTAAATATTATTACTTCAAGAGAGAACAAATCTACACTTCAAGACGAGATTTTTCTATTTATTATTTATTATTTATCTGATCACTTTCCGGGTTTCAAAATATTAAAAAAATATATAATTAGATGTCCAAGAGATAAAAAGCTTTTGTTAAATGAAAAATACCCGTCAAAAGTTCACTAAATATGTATGTACATATTGTGTTTCGTTTTTTTAAAAAACAAATACACCAATAACGTACATGAGACATCATGAGTCATACATGTGATGACACATCAGTGATCCCTGATCAGTGATCAGACCGTGTTGTCATAGTTTGTGCCAATATATTTATTGTATTTTTAGAAAATCAAATCAGGTACATAGTGTATACAGTATTTACTAATATTTATCATACATACAATTCATATTAATTGTTTCAAAAATCAACAACATAACTGACGTAACATATGTGACAAATATGACCAATTATGATTGACTGTGTATTAAACAATCTGAGATTCTTTAAAAAGAGACTAATCATAGTTACCTAAAGTAAGCTGGGATAAATTATTTTAAAAATACGACTAGAGTATAGGACTATAGTCCTGAGTGCCTGACTCTTTGGCCTCTGCAGAAAGGGGCTCGCGACTGGATCTGGAGTCTCTGGACTCTGGAGCAGGGCTCGAAACATAAACTGTATACACTATATGTATAGCGTAAACGTACTACGTTTACACGTTTACGCTTTGAACACAAGACGTATATACGTGATAAACTTTACATTTATACTCCTCACGTATGCAAATAGACGTAAGGTTCAGTGTAAACGTACTATGCTTTCCCGCTTGTATCGAATTGAATATAACCGTATTTTAAAATAGTTATTGCACTTTACGTTATATCTCATGAGACCCGATCTGGCCACTGGAGACAGGGGACAGTCATGAGCCGTGAGTGGTGACTAGTCACAAGCGAGGGCAGAGTACAGACTCAGGGGTCATCACCTTATCATGCTTTTATTTTTATAAAAAAAAGGTCATAAAACACTGTTGGGGCGCCGCGGGGACTGAAAGCGATTTAAAATTAAAAGGGTACATAGCTGAGTTTAAATATTTTTTTACTTGATCATAGCCTACTAAAAAAAGAAGGTGAGAAAATTTCTTGAGGGAATCCCCCCCTAAACGAAATCAACCCCCAAAAGTCACGGCCCTCTGGATTAGGGTCGTGAGCAGAAATCAAATTTCTTCAATATCGTAAATTTAGCAGAGATCCTAATCCAGAGGGATTTTGTTTAAAAAAACCCCCCCCAAATCCACTCAGGATCCTGTGTCAATAAATCACGGCTGGGGGCCTGGGGCGCCTCAGAGACTGAAAAGGGTTTAATAGACGAGGGTAGTTGCAGGATAATTGCTTGAGGGAGAGGGAGCCCCATGGACCCAAACAAAAAATCAAAACCCAAGGGATAAATTTAAAAGAGCCCTCGGGGGCCGTTGAGGGGCCTACAAATGGGGAAAAAGGGTTCCAGACAGATTTCAAGTTTGGACTCTACACTCTACAGGACTACAGCTACGCTTTCGGTGATATTGAGGAAATAGGGACTCTACAGCTACGCTTTCAGTGAAAAACGACAATATGTTGAAAAGGTGCCATAGTCGTGTTTGAGACAATTTTATTATTATATCAGAATATCAGAATATCAAAATATCACAGCTCTCTCTCTCCAGTAGAAATCACTCGATAGGGTTGGGAGACTGTAGCTTAAATGGGCGTTTAATTTCTTCGCAACTACGATCATATATTATTGTACCTTTGTGGCATTTTCTTGACTCCCTCAAATACTACATGCATCATTTAGTAGCCATACACTCACAAACAAGCACGATCTCGTGTGTAATAGTCATCGACAATCGGTGCTTGCATCAGCATCACATGCATGCACACATGTAAGATAGGTATATACAGTTGCATATACCGTACTATCCCAAAGCTTCTGGGGTACAAGTTTTAGCATAGCTTAATTTACAATACATTGGATATACAGGACACACGGCAAACTGTATAAAACACGACACGATCTGATATCAAATATATAAGATTCAGTAAGGTTCAAGTGCAAGTCGCCTCTTATTCTCGTCTATCGACTATCGAGTGCAGCTATGTATTGTAAGTATTTAAAATACCTATTCTAAAGGCGTTTGAAGTAAATATGGTAACCACCACCGACTAAACTCGAATCTGATACACACGACAGTTTCCAATTCTGCCATTCTTTTGGAAGCCAATTTTGCAGATATGTATACAGGTGGACAACCAAATGCTTAGGTCACAGTTGAAATGAATTTTGCCTACTACGGTGCGTCACAATCTGTACATATTTGACACTGAAGTTACTGGTTAATGTGGGCCGAAAAACATGCTGTGGTGTTTTATACTTCACAGTTTATGGTGATTTATACTTTGCAGAAATGTAATAACTAGCTATAAGTCACGTTCGAGTCTGATACGACCCGCATTTAAGTATTGTAGCCGCGGAGGACTGTCAATATTTCGATCTCCGCACAGATTGACAGTAGCTTGCTTGAGAAAATGCCTTTATGGTGAGTAGTTACAGAAGCGATTGATGACAGTGACGGCCATGTCAAAATGTGAAAGTTGTTAGTAGTTTCATTTTTATCTCAGATATATTTCTGTATATCAACTTAATTTTCACGAGTGGCATGTTTTGTGGACATATAATTTATTCTAAAAAAATAAATTATAGAACATACATTTCTATCAGTATAGGTACGAACCAGAAGGGCCCAGATAGCAGGTTTCTTTGCCGTTGGCCAACGAAATCTAGACTAGTCCGGTCACGTACAGCAAATATTTCAATCCGTACTGGCATTGCACGTTTTTGAGTTGTATACAGAAAACCAGGGCAGGTGTGTTGCGCTGTTGTGAGCCTGTATTTATATAAGGTATATACGTAAATACATATTCCATTTCCGGTCATGGGGCCTGTCGAGGCTGTCGGCACGTGGGGCTGGAAGCCTGGAACTCTGAACTTCTATTATAATTCTATAATATATGATTTTTTTTTAGAGGGGGCCATAAGAAAATTCCGGAACTACTTTTGTTTTTTATTTGTGTTATTTTTGTTTTTAAAAAATAAATAAATAAAATAAACCATCTATCACACAGAGATGCATTGTGTTTTAAAAAAACAAACAAATATTCTAAAATAGAAAAATATTACAAAAATCGAACACCACATAATTTTTACATAATTTTTAGGTTGTAGGGTTCAAGCCTTTAAAAGGCAAGCGGACATATCATTATTTTTTAATCAGTACATTATCAGTCTTTTCATTAGGAAAGCAGCCAGGCCCGCTGCCAGGCCTACTCTACTCTCTAGTAGAGAGAGTAGAGCAAGCAGTCAGGCACAGAGCCAGGCACTGGCAGTCTGGCACACTGGCAGTCAGACTGTTCGTCTCAATTTTTTATCAACTCTCCAATCTCCATACAAATGCTGACGGCTGGCTAGGTATATTATCATAAGTACACTAACAATCACCAACTATCATGGCATCCATATATACGACAATACCAAGAGCTGAAGGGGTGGAGGCCCGTCTCGCGAAAGCGCAGCCTTATATGGGTATACCACAAAGCAACTTATTATTGCTCGTGCCACTCTCACTGATTGTCTGTCTGGTCCTGCCATTGTGGGCTGTATTTGTATTGCCCATTTGTGCGATTTACGTACTAGTTGTGGTCTTACCTGTGCAACTGCAAGCGTATTTCTCGACTTTCGATGTATCAGCCGACAAGAGTGTCGCAGCATTGACACCTGTAGAGCCACGAACGCCTTTAGAGGACAGAGAATTCGATGTGGTTGTGTATGGTGTCACTGGCCACTCTGGACTTCTGCTAGCTGAGTACTTAGTAATGCAGTATGCTAGCAAGGGCGACCTCAAGATTGCCCTTGCTGGCCGCAATGCGAAGAAACTTGCCGCCGCGCGGGAAAAACTGGCCGCCAATTCGCACCCAAGTGCGCTTGATTTACCACTCATCATCGCGGACTCTGGCAATGAGGAGTCTCTGGAACAGATGTGTATGCGCACAAAAGTTGTAGGTACTACTGTCGGGCCTTTTTTGAAGTACGGAGAGGGCCTTGTACGTGCCTGTGGCCGTACTGGAACGGGTTACTGTGATTTGACTGGTGAGACCGCTTTTGCGGAGATTGCATCGGCCAAGTACAATAAAGTTGCCATGGAGACCGGTGCGCGTGTAGTGTCTTTTACAGGGTTTGATTCTGTGCCCGCCGATGTCGGCACC